TATATACATTCTGTAAATTTTTTTTAGAAAACATTTCGAGCCACTGCTACTTTTAAACGCGCGTACGTTGGTTTCTCTTCCTCTCTTTTCGTTTTCGACCTCCCGATGTCTCTATTTCCGCCATTAACGTCGCGAACTGGTTAAGGCTGGAAAATGGCGATTGCTGACTCTGACACGATCTTCCTCGTCCGCGATACATCTTATGGACATGAAATTTATGTAGATTTATGTGGATATTTTTACATTTGAGACTTACAAGACGCGAGATGTACGGGAGAGGGTAGATACAGAAAAAAAAGACGAACCAAATTCACTGATTAATGGTGCTGCGAGATCGTTCATGGGTCATTGATCGCCGATCTATTCGTTCTTTGCTCAGTATTCTAGGCTGTAACCGATACCGAATACATTCGATGTAACGATTAAACACACATACACACATATACACACACCACACATACACATATACACACATGACTCGTAGTTACCCTTTCTCTCTGTGACAGTGGTGACGCAGCGGCGCAGCGCTAAACGGGAAAACGCAGCTTTCGATTTTGCAGGTAGCGGTTTTTTGATTGTTCGAATATCAAGTAGTACACGCAGCACACGTGGATTCTCGCACTTAGGTACACGGCAAAAAATGTACGGTTAGGTGATCCTTTAGGAGAAGGGAGAGAGTCCAGCGTGGTCTCTCGGCCGAGGGTGGTTGCAGCGACGTTCTCTGAGTTTCTAGGCATCGATGCTTGTGACGAAAATACATATCGCCGCCCGGATCTTATTGCCGGGCGTATCATTCTCGCAATAAACAAATCAAATTCTATTCTTCTGAGCAAACAGGGGCTGGTCCCCCAAATGTTCTAACTAGTTCCAAACAGATTAATTATTGATACAAATTTATTTATATTCTCTAATAATTTCCAAACGCCATCTTTCCTAAAATCCGCTCTCTTCATAATTCTTTTAAAAATAGAATTCTATTCATTCTTTTTTTTCTTCTTTGTCTATTTATTTTCTTTAATTTAAAGAACAACTGTAGCAATAACTTTTTTATATCGTATCAGTTAAAAATTATTATGTTTACTTTCCAATAAAATTATTTCTGCATTTCATTCATTGTCTCTGTATTGTCTTATATATATGGTGACGAGTTGGGGTTGGGGAAGTGAGGGGAATTTGCAAAGCAATTTCGAAAAATAAATAAAATATAAATTTAAGAATATTTATATTTTGTTTTTAATGTACTTGGAAGTAATTTAAAGAAAAATCGAAAGTCGTGTATAGGAATTGAAGAAATTTGGTAGAACGTGATCGCCTTCGGCCGAAGACAGACGCAATTGGCGAAGATGCCGGGCACGTAAGACGCGAAATGAGGAATTACGCTTGATCGAGGATTTATCTCTCTTGCGTTGAAGTTACAAACCGCACTCGAGTGCCATGCGACACGCGATCGATGTCGCGATTTCGACAAGAAGAAGAAGAACAACAACAACAACAACGACGACTCTGACTTTTCTCGAGCGAGCAATTTTGAGATTAGAACACTATGTTTAAAGGTATTTTAACACGTCACACACCTCGCGGAGAACATATGTAACATATTTTATACATAGTGTCTGCGCCCAATTATAAATCTATGCTGTGCAAGACAAGTGCGTCGCTTCTTCAATTCCAAAAAGCAAGGGACCGAAAGAGAGAAAAAGAAAAGCGGAGACGATGTGCTCGAGCGGAAACATCGTGATAGGTTACGATAAAGCAACGCGGTAGCGTTGTGACGCCAAATACATAAAAAGTATCCGAGAATGACAATTGAATTATATCGTGTCGTAATCTCACGGGAGCGACCGTGGGATTACGGCAACGACGGCGCCTCGAAAAACATCTCGCTGACGTTAGCGATGACTGCTTAAGTATCCGGACAGGAAGAGGAAGTAAGTTATGTGTCTGTTGGAATCGGTCTCATCATGTAGTAGTCTCTTGTTCCCTGCATACAACAAAACCATCTTGTCACTGGACAGAAGTGAGATGTCGCAATTCCTCCTCATTGACTCGCGGCGAGAGAAACGCGACGAAGCCGTGGACGAATGACGAATGCAGGTCGCGTGGAGCGCTCTCTCTCTCTCTCTCTCTCTCTCTCTCTCTCTCTCTCTCTCTCTCTCTCTCTCTCTCTCTCTCTCTCTCTCTCTCTCTCTCTCTCTCT